GCTCGGTCCGGTTGTGTCTAGCTCGGTTCGGTTCAGTTTGCTTTCCATTTACACACGATAAGTTATCTCAGTTAATGAGCTCGGACCGGTCTCAGCACGGTTTTTCAAGGGTAGTGGAAATGGGGTATAAAGCTGCAGAGTGGCAACACTTTGAAAAAGCTGTGGAAGACCATCTTTATCAAGCTTTTTATCTCGCATACAGTACAAACTGTTGTTTTTAGATGTAGATGTGCATATATAGATTTTGAAGTATTAAAAATAAATAGGTGTGTGACAACATAAAACTATATGTCAGTATTATAGATGTGTCTCTATCTATGTATATATATTAGAAAAAAAACGTATTTATAAATATGTGTACATATAAAAAGTGGCACATTATGAGAAACTTGTCTGAAATGAACTAAACAAACACTCTCACCACTAACCAAGTTGGAATTTCATTTTGCTTTGGTGAAGATCAGCAGTCATCCAGGTCATAGTCAGTCCAACAAAATGAAAAAAGTAAAAAAAAAAAACAAAAACACTGGACTTTGTTTTCCAAGTTCGAAGACGTTTCGTTTCCCATCCAGGAAGCTCTCTCAGGTTTATAGAGTGGCACAAACAAAAACTGGTTACAGTATTGAGTGGAAATAATACCTAAAAACTACCTGGGCGTATGATGTTTTATTTTTTTAATCACACTCTGTCATTTTGGTGCAGTGGTGTAACAGTAAGGGGATCCGAGATAAGAAATGCGCAGAGTGAGCACATTTTAAATGGAAATGATTTAAGCTTTCTGGTGTTTTTTTCTCTCTGTAATGCCCTCATACTTCAGTGCATCACATGCCATTGCACAGATGTCTTTTCCTGCATGACCGACTTATTACAGCTCTCAATATCTTCCATATTTTTAAAAGAAGAAAAAAATGATTTGGCATTTTCTTCTTGTTTTCAGTTCCAGGAACTTCAGGTTGACCGGGAGATGCTGCTGACCACCAACCGGAGCCTGGCTGAGGAGAGCCTGGCTCGGCGACCCCGGCTTAATAACGGCAAGCTCCAGCTGGCGGAGAAATACAAGGAACTGTCCAGCCTCGTAACCACATGCTGGGAAAAACAGAGTCAGCTGGGTGAGTTCACCTCGCCACTGAGGAGACACAGAGAGGGGGACGTGGTTCAGGTTTCATGTGCTGAAATGTCAGTGGGCGACCATGATGGCAGGGTCACTGGTTAGTATCCACGGTTGGATCGATGATCACATTTATTTAAAAAGGGTTTTTTTCCCAGCATTCTCAGACAATTCAATTAAAACAGACATAAAAATCAGTCAGGAAAGGTCGCCTCTCAGCCACTTAAGGTTGAAGCTAATTACATACCATAACCCACAGTGGCTCCTCGGTGTCTTCCCTGGTAATTGCAGGAAGACACCCAGAATGACTCCATAGTCTGCGACATGGAAAGCAGAGCGGTATTTGAAAGCCATCCAGCTCTCTGTGACAGCTTAGCTGGTTCTGAGAGCGAAGGAAGCTTCGCATCAGAGTAGAGAAAAGCTTCAGAGTGTCACCGAGACGAGCCTTCATCTGCTCAGCCAAAGCCTCAGCATGACTGGAGTTCGGTCATGGGAACCAAATGGAGCATATCAAATGCCAGCAGGAAGCTTGCAGCAGTTGTCAAGAAATTTGCTTTTTGTTTCGGCAACTTATGCATCTGACAGTGCAGCTAGCCGCAGGGCAGCAGCAGAGGATGTCGTCTAAGCCTTGATACTAAATTTTAAGCTCGGTGGGTAAGCGTTAAAGGTTCTTACAGCGCGAGTCGAATCACCAATGGGTGAAAGAGGAAGCGTTGCTGCATTAATTTCCATAATGTCTTCTGCCCCCTTTAAGTTCATCTGTGCTGTAATAAAAAGTCCAGACTTGTGCCTCAGCTGCAGGCCGGTGATGGAAGTTGGGTGGAATGCTAAACTTCCTGTGGATGTGCATGCAGCACACAGATGCTATCCCACCTCCCCGGCGAGGCAGGATGGGCGGGGGTCCGTCCTTGCCTCCTTCCTGCTCACATCTGATTCTCATTTGGCTCTGCAAGACGGGGGACAAGAAATATGAATGGGATGGCTTCACTTGATGTAAGCGTTCCCAGCGGAGGCGAAGTTGCGGGTCGCTGCGGGCGGCTGCATCGTTACATGCATCCTGCTTTTTTTTTTTTTTTTCCTCTGAGGGGGAATCTGTGAATGGGGAAAGCTGGCAGGGTGGGAAGCTGGCCGGCTAGGTGGAGAAGAAACATTAAGACTTCCTGGCTTAGAGGTTCTCATAAATATCACAGCCACTGAGGGGCTACTTTTTAAACAGATTACTTAGCAATTTTTAAATGTATACACAATCATTTTCACACCACTCGAAGAAATCCTACATCTTTAAAAGCATAAAGGCTAATAACTGGGTTTACTGTCCTGCTGCAAACTCTCATGGACAGCAAAACAGAAGAAAAGTCAGATTTAGAGGTAATTCGGACCAGATGTAGACCAGAGGTTGGTATGTAAAGGATTTGCAAAAAGCTGGCAGGACTAGAACAGTGTGAGGGGGGGCAAGTGTTGGCATTGGGTGGAGGGAAGTGCAATTTGTAGATAAACAGCGTCATTAAGAGCAAGAAACACAGCAGACAAGTCTGGGAGAACATTGTTGAGAATTTTAAAGCAGGGTTAGGTTAGAAAACAGCTCTGATCTTGGAACATCTCCTATTTCGTCTCATTAAAATAATCCAGTCAAAGTTTAGACCTAAATCCAGTCGAGGATCTCTAGCAAGACTTGGAAGCAGATTTTCCAGGATGCTCTATCCAGCCTGGCTTTGTGTGAGCTGTTGTACTAAGTTTATCTTGTCTTGATTTAAAGCACTTTGTAGAAAAGGCAAAAAAGAATGAACAATCTGGGAAAATAATAGAATATAGTCTACTTTTTCTAGATGTTTGTTCATTTGCATAGTTGCCTTTAAATAAACATATTCTCAGAAAATAAATAGTTTTTATATATAAAAATATATACAGCTGACAGATAGCTTCTCTATTATTAAACTGGTAAAAAAAAAATTTTAGGTTTGTGAAACAATATTGGACCATGCAACACACAGATTTACCTTGACAAAGCCTCAAGATTTATGCACAAAAATAAACCTTTACATGAAATGATGTTTTGTTTCTATAAAGTGTTTTTTATGTAATGTTTTCCTAATGTGTTTTTTTGTTGGCATTCATATAAATATAGTGGTGTGATAACTTAGTATACATTTGATTGGTTTTTGGATGCATCTAGGGCTGCAAATAACGATTATTTTAAAAATCGATGAATCGGCCGATTATTTTTTCGATTAATCGATGAATCGGACAAAAAATATTTTTTATGTTAACCTCTTTATTCCAAAATAAACATTTTAGACAGAACAAACAAGCACACAAGTACAGGTTGCTCATTAACTGTACTGGTGCAATGGTGAAAAATAAATGTTTGTGTTAAAACTACGCAAACTTACATGAGAAATGTAGCTGTACATCCACAAAATATAGG